AAGTTTATCATTCTTTATAGCTGAGTAGTACTCCATTATATAAAAGTACCACATCTTTTTCAACCATTCCACATGTGACAGGCATTTTGGTTGTTTCCAAGATTTGGCTGTCACAAATTGTGCTGCTATAAACATAGGTACGCATATATCACTATGATATGACGCTTTCAGTTCCTCCGGGAAAATTCCCAGTAGCAGGCTTGAATGGAATATCCAGTCCTAGTTTTCTAAGGAGTCTCCACACTGATTTCCATAATGGTTGCACCAGTGAGATGGTATCTCAATGTTGTTTTAATTTGCATTTCTCGTATGACCAGTGAAAGGTGGAGCTTTTTTCATGTATTTATTTGCCTCTTATATTTCTTCCTCTGAGAAGTATGTATTAATCTCAAATGTCTATTTTTGGATTAGGTCTTTAAATTTTGGGGCCCAATGATTTTTAGTTCTTTATAAGTTCTAGAAAGAAGATCTTTGTCTGAGTGATTATTGGTTAAGATTTTTTCCAAATTTGTGGGTTCTTTTCACTTTTGGTGATTTCTTTTGATGTACAAAAACGTCTCAGTAAGACGTGGTCTCAGTTGTTAATTCTTTCAAGTATTTGCCTGAACTTTGATTTTTGTTCATGAAATGTTTGCCTATCTCTATGTCTTCAAGATTTCCACCTACTTTCTCTTCCAGTAGATTTAGAGTTTCTGTTTTAATGTCTAGATCTTTAAAACATTTTGACTTTAGTTTATTTCATGGCAGTAGACCCAAGTCTAGATTTAGTTTTCAGCATGTAGAGAGCCAGTTTTTCCAGCACCATTTGTTAAAGAGGCTATCTTTCTTCCAGTGAAAATGTTTGGCCCCTTTGTCAAAGATAAGGTGGCTGAGTGTGTTTGTAGATGCTTGTGCAACTTCTACTCTATTCCACTGATCCTTGGGTCTATTTTTTTTTTTTTTGCCAATACCATTCTGATTTTATCACAGTAGCTTTGTAGTACAATTTCAAGTCAGGGATTGTAATGCCTTTTGCCTTGTCTTTGTTGCCCAGTCTTGTCTGTGCTATTCTTTATACTGTTTTTATTAAGGCTCAGCCTTAATTTTCAACAAGGTCTATAAAAGTTAAAGATGTCATTAAAAGAGGTTATGAAATGATTGTTAGGTTAAAAACTCAGGAGAAACAATATAAATTACATAGCTATTTGCAAACGTACATTAAAACCCTTAGGCTTTTAAATAGTGCTTCTACTTAATAAAGCAATTAATGTCCAATGTGGAGAGCACAATCTCATGTGTAGAATTTCACTGAGATTTAGGAAGAGATTATTTAAACAGAGTTTTAACAGGAAAGGAGGGAAAGCTGGGCATAATGGTACATGCCTGCAATCCTAGGACTCAGGAGGATGAGTGAGGCAGGAAGATTGCTGTGAGTTTGAGGCCAGTCTTGCACAGTGATTTCAAGGTCAGCCTGTACTATATAGTGAGACAGTTTCTCAAGAAAGAAACCAGTCAACCAACCCAGTACTCACCCTGCCCCCCCAAAAAATAAAAGAGAAAGAAAAAGAAATGGAGATGCTGAGCTAAGATGAAAGCTACTTTCAAATAAATATTTTTTGATTCTAGTTCCAGAATGACTGATTCTGGCAGACTAATTATTAACTTGCACTAGTGTCAGAATTTCTTGATGATGTTAATACTAAATAGGAATAGGAAGCAAAGTGATATTAATATTTGGTTTTTTTTGAGTGTGGAATTTTTGTTCAGAAAGACACAGACTTCATAGTGTGATAAGCCATGAAACACTTTTGTTCACTTTGGATTTAAGCTGGAACTCAATTACTTAAAAGGTACATATAATCTATTATAAAACAGAAAATATAATTTGGTCAGGAGATATATTGGAAAAGTCCTCAAATTATTACTCAAAAAAATCAGTAGAAAAATAAACTCAATTGAAAGTGTCTAGAAGGGGGAAAAAATTGCAGAGAACTAAATTTTACATACAGCAGCCAATCAACACCAACTGAGGTGTAATACAACCAACAAATGAAAACGTAAGACAAAATGTTCTAGCCAGAGAAATACATCACCATGGCTGGCGCTTGGGGCAGAGTACTTGGCGCTGGACTTTCGTATGATGTTCTCATGGATCTGGGCCCACTCACTCTCATTGTTGCACCTGCAATAGAAGGACAGGGTTTAAGGTTCCCAAATATTTTAAGTATTTGGTTTGATGTTTCAGTGTGTAACAATGTTTGAAGATAGAAGACTTCTTAGCTTTTCTAAAGAAATGAGTGAATATTTATGTATTTTATTAAGTTAAATAAGGCTCTTTTTCTGTTCAGTATAGAAGTTTTACCTTTTGGAAAGGTAAAAATGCTACATTAATCAATCATTTCTCTATGTATCTGTCTGTCGCTCTTACACACAAACAAACATAGGAATTGAACTCAAGTTTTCATGAATTCTAAGCGCATGGTTTAATACTAAGTTATCTGAGGCTGGGGAGATAGTTTGGTGGCATAAGTGCCTGCCTGACAAGTGCTTTTTCCCATATTCGATCCCAGTACCACAGTGAGTTGTGCTGGCCCTGGAACTGGGCTTGATGGGGCATGCCTACAATCCCAGCACTAGCAAGGCTGAGACAGACGGATCAGTATGAGTCCAAACTGCGTAGTGAGACCCTGTATCAAAAAGAAAAAGAAATACTAAGCTATCACCACATTCCATAAAATATTTTTTGAAGTGGTAAAATATCTTACTCTCTGATGTAGCACTCTCCTATGTGAGAAGTGCTTTCCTTTTCTAGGGTCTCATTACACATGCATGTACACACACACACACACACACACACACACACACATACACACACACACAAAGTTCCTGACAGAAAAATAGTTCCTCTCAATCTGCTGCTTATACATTGCCACATTTGCTATATATTGTCATCTGTCATTATACTGACTCTTGATGAAAGTCCTGCTGAGTCAGACGATGTGGACAACCTTTACTCATAACTATTTTCAATCAAACTGAGACACGAAAAGCTTGGGAGAATAGCAGTGGGTGTGATTCACTATGAATTCTATGTTCAAGAGAAAAGGAACCTTAGCAGGTAAAACTGGATGTCTAAATATACAAGAATAAAATGTCCTCTATGGACTTACAGATCTTTTATTTATCTATTTTTTACTAATTTTAATGAGAAAGAAATCACAATGAGATAGTTTCAAAACAGGTTAGTAGGACAGTTACAATAATTAATACATTGCATATTGTTGTTTTCATAGTAGATATTCAGAGGACAAGATGCAGACATGATATATTGTCTAAACACTATTAGAACAAATCTTCCTTCTCATTGAACAAAGAGAAAGTAGTATATCTATCCTAACTATTTTGAACACACACACAGAGAGAGAGAGAGAGAGAGAGAGAGAGAGAGAGAGAGAG